CATAATGAGACCTCGTCTCCACAAAAAAGTTTTAAAAAATTAGCTGGGCATGCTGGTGTGTGCCTGTGGTCCTGGCTATTTGTGTGGCTGAAATGGAAGCATCACTTAAACCCAGCAGATCAAGGCTGCAGTGAGCTGTGATTGTGCCACTGCACTCCACTCGAGTGACAGAGCAAAACCTTTTCTCAAAAAACAAACAAAAGCAAATATACCGATTACCACAGAGTAGACTGAAAAGATGGTTAAAGGTCAACATTGAGAAGGCAGCAGGACCAGGTGATTTCCTAACTTGTTTCCACTAACCTAAGAACAGTAATTCTGATATTTTAGTTATTCCAGAATGAAGGGAAGGATGGAAAACTTCCTAATATGTTTTATGAAGCCAACAAAACCTTAAAATCAAAACATGATAGAGTAACAAAAAAAAAAAACCTTGCCTGACTTATATATATTTACAAAAGTTCTAAATAAAATATTGGCAAGCAATACTTGACAATTCAGCAATAATTCAAAAGAATAACACATTGAAACAAATCAGAGCTTAATTCAAGGAATGCAAGAGTGAAATTCAATGTAATAAAGTATATTTACCTAAAACCAATAGCAAACATCTTTCTACTAGGTGAGACAATACAACTATTTCAAATAAAATCAGAACCCAAACAGGCATGCCTGCTATTGCTATTATTATTCAACATTGTCATGGCAGGTCTGACAAATGAAGTCACTGAAAAAAAAAAAAAGATATACCATTTTTACTAATTGCATAACTGTATTTATTTTTTTTAAACCCAATAGACAACTAATAGAATTAATAAGAATATTTGATAAGGTAATACTATGGTATATAACAAATATATAAAAGTAATTAGGGATTCCATATTTAAGTATGAGCAACTAGAAACAAATGGGAATGAAATCCATACATAATAGTGAAAAAGTCATTAAGATACTTAGAAACAAACTTAGCAAGAAAAGCACAAAAAAACCTATAAAAAGAAAACTATAAAATCATATTGAATGATAAACTTTTAAATCTAAGCAAATGGAACAACATCTGTATGTTCTTAAATGGGAAGATTTAATATAATAAAATTGTCACTTTTTTTTTTTTTTTTTGAGACAGACTACTCCTGTTGCTCAGACTGGAGTGCATTGACACAGTCTTGCAACCTCTGCTCCCAGACTCAAGTGATTCTCCTGCCTCAGCCTCCCAAGGAGCTGGGACTACAGGCATATGCCACCACCCCCGGCTAATCTTTGTATTTTTTGTAGAGACAGGATCTTGCTGTGTTGGCCAGGCTGGTCTCGAACTCCTGACTTCAACTGGTCCACCTGCCTCAGCCTCCCAAAGTGCTGGGATTACAGGCATGAGCCACTGCACCAGGTCAAAACATTACATCTCTTAATATCACAAGAATGTCAAGTTAAAAACCAAATACAATAATGGGATCCCAAAACATAAAATGGGCATTAGGTAAAAATTGAAATCTAAATACAGTAGGGATTTTAGTTAATACTAACGTATCCATTTGGTCCATTAATTGTTAACATTATGTATCATATTAATGTAAAATGTTGATAGTAGGAAAACTGTGTGAGGAGTATATGGAAGCTCCCTGTACTATCTTCACAATTTTTCTGTAAATCTAAAACTGTTCTAAAAAGTAAAGCTTATTTTTGTAATCCAAGCACTTTGGGACGCCAAGGCAGGAGGGTCATTTGAAGTTAAGAGTTCTATGCCAGCCTGACCAACATAGTAAGACACTATCTCTATTTTAAAAAAAGAAAAAATACAAAAATTAGCCAGCATGCGCACTCAGGAGTTTGAGGCGGGAACGTCACTTGAGCCCAGGAGGTCAAAGCTGCAGTGAGCCTAGATCAGACCACTGCACTTCAGCCTCAGAGACAGAGCAAGACTCTTGTCTCAAAAAAGAAAAACATAAAATTTATTTTAAAAGCATATGTGTGAGACAATCAGGTAAGTTTTTTTTTTTTTTTAATAAACAGAATTCCAGTTAAATGGGTAAAAGTATCTTTCTTAAAGTTTAGGGAGAAAACGAATGCCCAATAAAGCAAATAAAAGAACAGTGAGAGGAAATAAACTATAGAGATACTATAATTAAATCAATATGGTATACTGATACAGGAACAGAGAAATAGATCAGTGGAACAGAATAGAGAATTCAGAAACAAAATCCAGTTTATATGAGATTTGAATATATGACAAAAAATATATTTCAGTGCAATGGGGGAAAGAGTGATTACTTAGTAAGTAGTGCTGGGACAACTGGCTGTTCAGCTGGTAGAAAATAGTTGGCCCAATAGCTCATATTATAAATAAAAAACAAATTCCAGATGGAGTAAATGGTTAAATGTAACAAATAGAGCATCAAGTTAGAAGAAAACCTAGGTGACAACACTTACAATCTGTTTCTTAACCAGACAGAAAAAATTGCCATTTTTGAGTTAATAAAAATGAAAAAAATTTGTGTTGCAAAGCTATCACAGATGAATCTAATAGGCAAATGATAGATTTGGGAAAATACCTGTAAAAGTGGTAACAGATGACGGGTTAGTAACCATGAACAATATACAAAGAGATTTTAAAAATTGGCAAGAGACAAGCAATGATAGAAAAATGGGTAAAGGATGTGAAAAGGGAGTTCGTGAGAACAAATCCACAGACATAAGCATAGAGATGCTTCAACTAACTAGTAATTAGAGAAATGCAAATTACAGGAAAAAAATAATAATCACTTACAACCAATCAGATAAAAGGAAAAATACAGAGCACAGTACCAGTTGCTGACAGGATGAGGAGAAAAAAAAAATAAATTGTTTACAGCTGTTTTGTAAAGCAGTCTGACAAATACTTTTACATTAAAAATACACAGACACTTCAACCAACAAATCACACTCCTGGGAATCAATGCAATAAACATAAAATCACCAATAAAATTTTTATTGCAGCATTGCTGTTACTGCAAAACACAACAAACAAAAAACTGAGTTCCCAGCAATAAGGTAATAATACTTCTATATATTGTGGAATATTAAGCAGCCAATAAAAAGAATGAATCAGAGCTACACCATTTAACTTGGAAGGATTTTCCTGGATGTATCTTTGAGTGAAAAAGTAAGATGCAGAGATCCCACCACGATCCCATTTTTAAAAAGCAAATATTGACCAAACCCACAAATGTGTGTGTGAGAGAGAGAGAGAGAATGTGAACATGGAGACAAGCAGAATAATACACACTAGCTTGCTAACTTGGGTTACTTAAGAAGGGTGGTGGAGAATACAGGGATTGAATAGAAAACATGAGCACAATGGATGAAACTATTTCATTTATGTTAAGCAAATTAATCAAAGACCCTCTACAATGTGGATTAGGAATGTAATATGATTGGTATAAGCTTCTATCTTCCACATAGTCCCCAGTTTTTAAACATTATTATTTTTTTTTCTAGGCTCCTTCGAATCATGGGACATAGTCTCCATTTTAAAACTTTCTCACAATCATTTGGCATTTTCTCTTCCATTGAACTATCAGTTCTGTACAATAAAATTCCCAAAATATCTTGTACATTTTGTGACAATTCTACTTACAAATATTGTTTTTCATTAACAGTCACCCCACAGTTTATGAAACTAAATTTTTGGACCCCCACTTTTCAATCTGAGGTGTAGTTTTACACATAATCACAAGTACATACCTAAATATTAGAAAATTAGAAAAAATAAGGAGTGGGTAATTATATATTTGCTCTTGACAGAAATGTCCAGAAAATGAAAATATAAATTGTGGAAAAATATGCACAAAGTCTTCTATTTCAGTAAAAACCAGAAAAACCTTAATTACAAATGCATACTTAACTATTTTTAAGTGAAAGAGAAAGCTGTGGAAAGCATTTCTTGTCACAGGTTACATAAAGGGGAGGGAAATAGAGAGGAAAGCACACATTACTAGTTTTGCCTTTATACATCTCAGTGTTATATGACTTCACTTATTACCATAAGCAAAAAACTATTGCTTTTGAAATCTGAGAATATTAAGTAATGAAAACAAAGATAAACTGCAAACAATCAAATAAATTGAGTATTACTTAGTACCTATCTCATAAGATCTGTTGTGAAGATTACGTGAGATAATCCATGTAAGGTGCTTGGCATATTGCCCAACATGTACATGATCAATAAATATTAGCTGTTTTTAATTAAAAAAAAAAAAAAAGACTATAGAGAGCAGTGAAAATTACAAAGCTGAAAATACCAGGCTTTTGAAAACGACAATGTGTACACAAGGCACTTTTTCCCATATTACTGAATCTGGCCTCTTTTGGACTTCAAGGATTCATATTTTGGTAACCATCCAGCTCATTAAACACATTCTCAATGGCAGGAAAAGTAAAATTACAATTAGATAAATAAGGCACTTAACAATAAAAAGGAGATGACAATCTTTTTGCCTTGAAGGGTACCCTAAGAACTTCACAAACCATCCTAAGGCATTATGCATCAGTTGCAACACTTCAAATGAGAACTACTTGGGCCGTGGACATCTCCCTAACCCTGGAGGAGATGCAACAGGACATACAGATTGGAGAGTGATGCAACAACCCTTCTTGAGGCCAGCCCAAGTGGGACATTCATTCCTAGACACAGAATGCTACTCCCAACTCTGAGAGTTTCTCCACAGGCCTACCTAAAAATATAACAGTTTGATTGTAATCTACAAACAAAATCTGGTACATCAATACTATTCTTACTGCCCAATGAAACATTAAAATAGCCTCATAAGGCGGGTGCAGTGGCTCACACCTATAGTCCCAGCCACTTGGGAGGCTGAGGGGGGCGATCAGAGGCTGGAAAGCAGAGGAACTAGTGAGCTGAGATTGTGCCACTGCACTACAGCCTGGGCAAGACCAGGTTTTAAAAAAATAAAAAAGAGCAGCCTCATAAATGTCATGTACAAGTTACTAATTTTATTACTCACATGGAATTGACTTTGTCTTCCGGCCCCTGCACTTGGCCTGTCACAGTGCCTTTGCTGGTATTCTTCACCCAGCCAACCACCCCTATCTTCTTAGCTTCATCTTCGGTATACTGATTTCAGAAAAAAACAAGAAAAATAAAGCATCAAAAGTCTAAATTCACAACATACTTGATTCTAACATCCAAAAAATGCTAACCTAATAATCATTTTTTGGTAGGCTATGCCAACAATTGTATACATGACCTACAGTTAACAATTCTATTTATAAGAACCTTCACTTAAATTGTATCTTTTGTTAAATTCTACTTTCAGTAAAAACAAGTACATGATGAAAAAATAAGCTGAGAGTGAGAATTATTTCAGAAACAATTTCCATGATGTATTTTTGGATATATAAAATTTAGCTGCATTGCCCTCAAGATTGCTAACACTAAATTGCATTGTTTACCTGGTTTCCAAATGATAATCAATCCAAAATTCTCTATCACTGAGGAAAAAAAATCCAATTATAATCAACATAAGGTATTGATAAGCAGAAATAGAGACTAAAACACTTCGAAATTTCCAGTAAAAATGAAGGAAAATCATCTTAATAAAAAAATTAAAACAATCCCATTAAAAAGTAGGCAAGGACACAGTTCTCAAAAGTATACATGTGGCCAAGAAGCATATAAAAAACAGTTCAATATCACCGATCATTAGAGAAATGCAAATCAAAACCGCAATGAGATACCTTCTCACACCAGACAGAATGGCTATTAAAAAATCAAAAAATAACAGATGCTGGCCAGATTGTACAGAAGAGGGAATGCTTATAAACTGTTGGTGGGAGTGTAAATTGGCCAAATCACTGCGGAAAGCAGTGTGGCAATTCCTCAAAGAGCTAAAAATGGAACTACCATTCAAACCAGCAATCCCATTATTGGATATATACCCAAAAGAATACAAATTGTTCCATCATAAAGAAACATGCCTACATATGTTCAATGCAGCAGTATTTACAATAGCCAAGACATGGAATCAACCTAAATACCCATCAGTGGTAGACTGGACAAAGACAATGTGGTACATATACACCATGGAATACCATGCAGCCTTAAAAAAGAAATGAGATAATGGCCTTTGCAGAAATATGAATGGAGCTGGAGGACATTATCCTTAGCAAACTAACACAGGAATAGAAAACCAAATACCACATGTTCTCATGTATAAATGGGAGCTAAATTATGAGAATATGTGGACACAAAGAGGGAAACAGACACTGGGGCCTACCTGAGGGTGGAGGATGGGAGGAGGGAGAGGAGCAGAAAAAAATAACTATTGGGTACTAGGCTTAGTACCTGGGTCATGAAACACTTTGTACAATAAACCCCTATGACACGAGTTTACCTATAACAAACCTATACATGTACCCCTGAACCTAAAATAAGTTTTCTTTTTAAAAAAAGAAACAAAATTAAACTAGCAAGAACACTAGCATAAGCATGTTGGTTTGCAGGGTTATTGTAAGATTACAATTCTGATGTTTTCTGTCGGCTCTGGACTTGGCACAGGAATGTTATAATTGTCTACGGGTAAATTTATCTCTCCTATTATTAATAGTCTTTTTAAAATTCCTTTTTCTAGCTCCAAATTCAGTTATACCATGTAAGTAGTAACATTTTGATTTTGAATTATTTTAACAATAGCATCCTAAAATTCCTGTTGATTCAGTCTCCTAGAACTTTTTTTGTGGGGGATGGAGTTTCACTCTTATCACCCAGTCTGGAGTGCAGTGGTGTGATCTCGACTCACTGCAACCTCTGTCTCCCAAATTCAAGTGATTCTCCTGCGTCAGCCTCCTGAGTAGCTGGGATTACAGGCGTCCACCACCACGCCCAGCTAATTTTTGTATTTTTAGTGGAGATGGGGTTTCACCATGTTGGTCAGGCTGGTCTCGAACTCCTGACCTCAGGTGATCCATCTACCTTGGCTTCCAAAAGTGTTGGGATTACAGGCATAAGCCAACACATTTGGCCTTAGAACTTTTCAAAAGCATACTCTTCTCCTGTATGGAGGCCAGGATGATCAACATCTCTACATCCCACATCCCCAACTGTATGAAACAACACACATCAAAATGGTAACAGCTAAGACTGTTGTAAGTGGTAGCCCTGAAAATAAGTCACTTTCTTAATAGATAATAATGAAAAAGGAGACGACCTGAATTTTGGGGGATGGGGCTGCCTCATAATACGGAGACTTTACTGACAGGAACATATTGGAGCCCTCAAAGGTTTGGAACCAGGGACCTAATGTAGTGACCCAGCTCAGATAGTAGGTGAAAGAAAATGTATGCCACATTTAACTTGTAGGAAAGGAGTACTTAAAAAAATTAAAAATTTAAAACCATCATGGAGCCAGGCATGGTGGTTCATGCCTATAATCCCAGCACTTTTTGGGAGGCTAAGACAGGAGATCAGGAGTTCAAGACCAGCCCAGGCAACATGGTGAAATGCAGTCTCTACTAAAAATAAACAAAATTAGCCAGGTCCAGTGTGGTGGCTCACAGCTGTAATTCCAGCTCTCTGGGAGGCTGAGGTGCATGGATCACTTGAGGCTAGGAGTTCAAGACCAGCCTGGCCAACACGGTGAAAGGCCATCTCTACTAAAAATAAAAAAGTAGCTGGACGTGGTGGTGGGCACCTGTAATCCCAGCTACTTGGGAGGCTGAGGCAGGAGAATTGCTTGAGCCTGGGAGGCAGAGGCTGCAGTGAGCCGAAATCACACCACTGCACTACAGCCTGGGCAACAGAGTGAGACTCTGTCTCAAAAATAAATAAATAAATAAATAAATAATTGCAACATGGAGCTTAAACTGCTAAATCCTGGGAACCACTTCCTTATGCAACATTTAGCGTGTTTTGTTTTGCAATGCACCATGTGTCCCTTTGCCTACAGGATTTCTTCCATCCAGAACATGTGGAAAATCCCATACTTGGTATTCAATACACCTAATCAAAGCATTTAATTAAAACACCCCAAGAGAGGTTCTTTTGAATGTAGAAGTGTTAAGTAAATATTAAGAAGGGTAAAATGTTTCAGCATTAATAAATACCTCAATCAGTAATTTTAAATAAATACATATATTTCTTCATTTACTCCCCAAGGACAGGGAGTAAACAGTAGACTAGCACTGAATAGAAACTGCCCTATCTCTATAATTGGGAATAACAGTGGGGAAAAAAAGGAAAAATAATAAAGATAGTATTGACTTACCATTCTGAAGCAAACACCTGTACAAAAGAAAAATTAAAAAATATCGTCAGCTTGTCTCCCTTAAAAAGTTACAAATTTTCTGACTTCACTTTTATCTAGGTAGTCCCCATTTATCCTTGGTTTCACCTTCTCAGTTTTACTTAACCCTCAATCAACTGTGGTCCTATAATATTAAACTAAAATTCCAGAAATGAACAATTCATAAGTTTTAAATGGAACACCTTTCTGAGTAGCATAGTGAAATCGCATGCTGTCCCACCCATGAATCATGCCTTTGTCCAGCAGATCCATACCGTAGACACTCCCTGCCCATTGGTCATAAGTAGCCCTCTTGGTTATCAGATCGACTGACTTGGTGGTACTGCAGTGCTTGTGTTCAAGTCACCCTTATTTTACTTAATGATGACCCCCAAAGCACAAGAGTAGTGATGATGGCAAATGTGCCAAAGAGAAACCATAATGTGCTTCCTTTAAGCGAAAAGGTGAAAGTTCTCAACTTAATAAGGAAAGAAAAAAATTGTATGCTGACGCTGCTAAGATCTAAATTAAAAATAAATTCTGTCCATGAAACTGTGAGGAAGAAAAAAGAAATTTGTGCTAGTTTTCCTGTTACACCTCAAACTGTAAAAGTTATAGCCACAGTGTGTGCTAAATGCTCAGGATATACAGGGTTCTATACTACCCACAGTTTCAGACATCCACTTGGGTTATTGGACTGGATTCCCCGAGAAGAAGGGGGAATTGTTGTATTTATTAAATGGTAAGTACATAAAATAAATAAAATGTTTAATATATGAAAGTATTTTTAAAAATTAGTTTCTTTTAAAATGAAAAGAGAAAGGAAGACTTTTTGGAGAAAAATAGTAATATTCTGAATCCAAAGTATAATAAAATGCTGAACTGCATACTCATTCTATTTTTAAATGCTAAATAAAACAATGCTTATTACAGATACAGTTGAGTATATTCGGCACAAAATTTAGCTGTACTCAACTTTTAAGATATCTTCTTAACATATAAGGACTAAAGGCAAATTTTATTTCTAGTTATGTAACCAATGAAACTTGTATCATGAAATGATATGCTTGACCATAACTTGGCTTCTGAAGCCTCAGTTCTTTTATTTACTTATTTACTTACTTACTTATTTATTTATTTTAGAGACAGGATCTTACTCTGTGCCCAGGCTGGAATACAGTGGTGCAATCATAGCTCCCTGCACCCTCGAACTCCTGGGCTCAAGGGATACTCCTGCCTCACCTTCTGAGTAGCTCAGACTACAGGCATAAGCCACTCTGCCTGACCCTGAAGCCTCAGTTCTAAAGGAAATGTACTTAAATGTAAATGATTCTTGGAATCTCTATAGTGTAGATTACATTACGTTCACACTTCAAACCATGTAGATTGGGAAGTATTGTTGGTCTTGGTTACGTTTTCCCTATCTAGATCAATAAGCTGTTCTATGCTGGCCAACTATGATGGTATCTTATATTTTGCTTACCCAGCCTGCAAAACTATGGAAGCATGTATTGTTTTGCAATGCAAATCAAAAAACCTCTGTCTGACCTCATCTCAGACAGAGGTCAAGAATACTATGGAAGTTCATACCTTGGGGTGTTTGGAACCAAACATTGATACATAAAGAACTGGGTCCTAAAGTGGGGGTAACACAAGAGGCAAGCTAGTTCCAAATTATCAGAGATATGCATTTATGATATGGGACCCGTTTAGGGAAAGGGAAGGCCTTCGTACATCTCTCCTGGGAATTGCAGCAATGACCCTAAGTAACAGATCTCAAGTCATTCCTGCAAATTGCCATTTGGAAAACTCTTGATCCAAAAGGATGAATTAGAACAGGCTTCTCTGGAATAGATATGCCCCACATGGGAGCTCCTACTTGAGAGTTGATTAAAATAGGCCTATGTTTTAAAGAAACATCAGGAATGTATCAGGTGCAGAAATTCAGAGCTTGTTAGTACCTATTGTAACTTAGTTTTAATTTCTACCTAGATAGAACACATTTGGAAATTTGCTTGCTAGTACTCAAGAAGCCAAATGACAGAAAGAAAAAAAAAAAGCTTAAGTTTAGAGGAGACGGCATAGCAATTAAAAACCATTGGGAATGGATAAACAGCTATGATGGATCCACACAATGGAATACCATGCAGCTGCAGCAATGAAAGGGAATAAACCGTGAATACAAGCAACAACATGTATGAATCACCAATGCATTATGCTAAGTAAAAGAAGCCAGACTCACAGATACTGTGTAATTCTACTTTGTGGAAAAGGCAAAACTATAAGGACAGAAAATTGATTATCAGTTGCCAAGGGCCAGGAGTAGAGGGGACAGTGCTACAATGGGAGGATGGAGATCTTTGGGTTGACGGGACTGTTCTATATTTCAATTGTGGTGATGATTACATGCATGTATGCATTTGTTAAAAATTAATTGGGGCAGGCGTGGTGGCTGATGCCTGTAATCCCAGCACTTCAGGAGGCCAAGGCAATCAGATCACCTGAGGTGTTCAAGACCAGCCTGGCCAACATGCTGAAATCCCGTCTTTACAAAAATACAAAAATTAGCCAGGCATGATGGCAGGTGCCTGTAATCCCAGCTACTCGGGAGGCTGAGGCATGAGACTCACTTGAACACAGGAGATGCAAGTTGTAGTGAGCCGAGATCATACCACTGCACTCCAGCCTGGGCGACAGAGCGAGACTCTGCCTCAAAAAAAAAATGTTCTTTCAATTGTACACTATAAAATGTGGTTGCTTAATTTATATTCTATCTCAATTGAAAAATAATCAGAAAAAAATACATTGGTAAGTCACATTGGTAACTCACAGAGTTCAAAAGGTATTGATTCTATATACAACAATTGAGCCTGGGTAACAGGATACAGAAGAAAGGACCAGTGGCTTAGATATTTTGTGTAGTTTTATAAGCAGATTTATAATTTCCTGATTTATAATATCCCGATGGTAGCATACTGTGGCACCAAACAAATCTGAAGGAAAAAGCAGCAGCCAAGCAATAAAGACAGGATAGTATCACAAATGGAATTTTTATAGGGCTACAAAAATGTTTCAAAAGATAGATGTTTAATGTAGAGGAATGATGGGTGGAAAGTATTGATCTGAAAGAGAATCAGAAAGGCAATCTGTTATATAGATGGAGGGAAAGACACTACCTAGTCGTTATAAAAGGAAATGGCAGAAAATTCCAGAAACTTCAGGTCACACAGACCATGTAGAAGAGAGAGAAAACAGGAGAGAAGACAGGCTGCCCTGTGCAGGCAAAAGCGTGCAGTCTTTTTATCATAAGAGTAAGGGGATCCCAGAACACAGTAAGACACTGACAAGGTAAGGAGACTGAAGGTTTTGGTCAAAGCTGTATTGTGTCTGAGTTCCTCGACAGCTAACAGTCCCGAGTATTAGCATTATGAAAAGAAAAAGCACATGCAAAGGCAGTAAACAGAAATTAGAAACACGTGGTCCATCTCTTTCCCATTTAAAGAGTGGCCCATCAAACAGCAACACCTGAGAGGTTTTTTTTTAGAAAAATAAATTCTTGGACCTCTCCTCAAACCTATAAGGAACCAAAACTCTACAGGTGGAGCCCAGTAATCTGGTTTTCATGTGCTTTCCAGGTGATTCTTATGCCCACTAAAGTTTAGAGCTGATGGCTGACTCCCCCTTAAAGAAAGGTCTAAGAGAGATTTGAAAGAATTTATATTTCAGGTCAATAATTGCGTCACAAAGGAGAAAATTACAATCTTGTAGGGTACCACCACAGATCTGATGCATGCTCCGTCACACTGTTCAAGCTGGTGTTGGTAATAACTCAGGTATTTGCATGACATTGTTGCCTCACCTTTTTTTCACAAGTCAGAAGTACTACATGATAGAAACCATGGATGATAAAAAGGCAAAACTCCCTCCTGCACTCTAAAGGGACCTGATGTTGGTGCAGCCTAGGCAGCCTGTCATGTAGATTTCTCCTTTCATCTGTACCGCTTACTACTAGAAATACTGGAGCTGCCCAAAGAGGGAAACTGACAACATGCCCCTCAGTGAAGAACAATGTCCTTTCAACATTAAGGAATCTTGAGCAGCCCTTCCACCATCTATTCACTGATGATGACAAAGACCATTAGCTTATGGTGATGGGGTTTGAGAAAATTTTTAAAGTGGAATCAAACACAGATATTCCACTATGTGTTGCAGTGTTATGGAAATTACCTACTCCAATTTATTAATGTAATATTTTATTCACACAAACATAATCTAAGAATTAGTTAATTCAGATACATTTAACAGACACACAGTTAAACGTTGATTATTCATTTAACATTTTTCCGTTGTCTAATTTTTCTTTTTTTGTTCTTAGTTTCAATTGTCTAATTTTATAAGACACAGTCTGCATCTAAGAGATTACGATCTAGTGGGAAAGATGGACAAATAAACTGGCAATTAAAATAATGGACAATTTGAAGCTGTAAAATGCATAAACCTAGATACAAATTAGAGTTTATAGTACAGCCACATGACAGACAATCAATCATTCCTGGGTGATTTTAGGGCAGGTTTGTTGAAAAACTGGTCTTAGAACTGAGACTTCAATGATGAGAAAAATTAGTAAGATGAGAATAGAACAACATTACAGATAGAAGAGCATGTTCAAAGACCTGAGGTTTGAGATCAGGGCATGTCTGGACACCACACATAGTTAATATTCAAACCCATGTGTTGTACTCATTTTCTAAATTATTTCTAGGCCTTAGTCATTACTGAAGACTTAACTGAAAAATAGTTTAATTCTGTACCAACCTTGTCTAGAAGAATGGGCAATAATATTTTTATACCTAAAGTTATCATCTTTCGACCCATCTACTACAAGAACTTCTTTAGCCTCCCTGCTTCCAGTTCTGCCCTCCTACAGTGTATTCTCCATAAAGCAGCCAACATGGTTTTCTTTTCTTAAGGAAAATAAAATCATTTCCTTTCCCAGCTTAAAAGCCTTCAGGAGCTCCCATTACACTGGAAATGAAAGGTATTCTGGTTGCCACAGCCTCCTAATTCCTCTACCTCATGTCCTAGTTCTCCCCTCTTTAGTTACCCCATTCCAGCCAAATATGCCTCCTTTGGCTCCTTAAACAAGCCAAGCCCCCTGGCCTTAGTATTGACTGTTCCTTCTGCTTGAATCTTCCTCCCCCAATAGTCTCACTACTGGCTCCTTCTCATTACTCTTCTCTCTGCATAAATGTCACCTCCTTAGAGAAATATTCCCCAACCAATTTATCTACAACAGCAATGCACCGCATGTTTCCTGCATATGTCTTGTTTACTTTTTCATTTTCTATCTTTATAGTAGACTGTCAGCTCCATAAGGGCGGAAATTTTTCTGTCTTGTTTACCACTGTGTCCGCAATACCTAGACGAAAGCTTGGCACATGGTTGTTGAATAAATGAATTTTTTAAAACCAGCTGATAAATATTTATATGAAATATGTAACTATCCTATAACTTATCACATAAATTATTATGTGCTTATTATGTGTTATAGATGTATAATTGATAATATTAACATATTGATTACATATTATATTTATTGTTAACATATTTTGAATATACATATAATCTTATGTATCAGACTTTACATTCAAAGTGATGATGCTAAATTTACTGCATTCAAAGTTCTGGAAAGAGTCTCAAGAATTCTATGTTGATTCTAGCAGAACTTTACATAGTCATAATATATTGTGACTGAATATATAATATACATATATATGTAGACATACATGCTTATATGCTCACATATATATCTATAATACATTTATATTATATATAATAGTATATATACTATAAAGGATAGCAAGAAGTTACTAATAAAGCCTAAATTAACATTATACATATACATAACATTAGGCAATACGTAGTATCAGTGCCAATCATAATCACAAATGCCATAATCCTATGTGCTGAAATCCTGAAAGTTCAAAACCCTTAAAGTCAGTCAGGTGTGGTGGCTTACACCTGTAAGCCCAGCAATTTGGGAGGCTTAGGCAGGAGGACTGACTGAGTCCAGGAGTTTGAGACCAGCTGGGCAACATAGCAATACTTCATTTCTGAAAGAAAAAAAATTTTTAATTAAAAATCTCTAAAGCAGCCGGGCATGGTGGCTCATGCCTATAATCCCAGCACTTTGGGAGGCCAAGGCGGGTGGATCATGAGGTCAAGAGATTGAGACCATCCTGGTTAACGAGGTGAAACCCTGTCTTTACTAAAAATACAAAAATTAGCTGGGCATGGTGGCGTGTGCCTGTAGTCCCAGCTACTCGGGAGGCTGAGGCAGGAGAATTGCTTGAACCCAGAAGGCGGAGGTTGCGGTGAGCCGAGATGGTGCCATTGCACTCCAGTCTGGGTAACAACAGCGAAACTCTGTCTCAAAAAAAAAAAAAATCTCTAAAGCATAAAATCCCTAATATCAAAAATCCTGAAAATCACAATCCTGAAAGATTAAAATTCTGAGTGGCAAAATCTAGAAAGCCTAACTCTGGGGATCGGATTAGTGCATGTTTGGTTGTCTGCATGACCGCTGCATCATGTTAGTTGCATCATGGTAAACAGAACTATTACCTTGTTATTGTCTTTATCTGGAAGTGAATTATGCTTGAAGGAGATGCATATGGGTGCCAAATTGACCACGACTGGATTTGTGAACTAATTTTAGATGTCAATTTGACTGGACTAAGGAATACCTAGAAACCTGATAAAGCATTATTTTGGGTGTGTCTGTGAGGCTGTTTCCAGAGATTACTGTGTGAGTCTGAATAGACAATATGGGAAAGATCTGCCCTCAATGTTTTGAGTGTTTCAGTGACATAAAAATGCAGCCAAAAGATATAAGAAATCTCCCGTCAAATTATTTAATCTGTATCTTCACACATAGTGACAAGCTTGCCTTCAAACAATGTCCTTCTTTTGTAACAACTGAATGTTTTTTTTAAAAGGGGGGGAAAGTGCTCGCTTCGGCAGCACATATAGTAAAATTGGAACGATACAAAGAAGATTAGCATGGCCCCTGCGCAAGGATGACACGCAAAAAGGTGGGGGGGGAATGACCTTATCAGGGAATAAGAAGAATTTTTTTTAAGATACAGGGTATCGCTCTGTTGCCCAGGCTGGAGTGCAATGGTATGATCATAGCTCACTACAGTCTCAAACTCTTGGACTTAAGCAATCTGCCCACCTCAACATTCCGAGTAGCTAGAATTAACTACAGGTGCACACCACCATGCCTGGGTAATTTTTAAATGTTTTGTAGAGATGGAGTCTCACTATGTTGCTCAGGCTAGTCTCAAACTTCTGGCCTCACTGGATCCAACTGCCTCAGCCTTCCAAAGCACTAGGATTACAAGCATGAGCCACTGCATCCAGCCAGAAAAAAAAAAAAAAAATTTGAAAAGCTCAGCGACCTTCTGAATGAAAGACCCTTACTGATACAGAGGTTCCTCCCACGATACAAAACACATTAAATGGTGAACTAATCTTGGTTAGGGATATGTCTGTCAGAGAAGATAGACTTCTTATATCTATTATACTACTTAATCTAACAAAGAAAAACCAGTGCATGCTTCAACTTGACTACTGTTTGGCACTTTCAAAACCATCCCCACTATTTGTTACCAACTGCATGCAAATCATGCCCCTGTTGGATCTCAAAATTCTAGAACATATCCACTCATTTAAGTATGAATGGGCAAAAGTGAAGCACTTTATAAAACACTTATTTGAAGATTTGGTGGATGTTGCAAAAGAAAATAGATTCAACTGAATCCCCAAATCATAATGACAGATTTGGAATTAGGTGCAATCATAGGTGTGACCAAAGCTTCTAAAAGTGAATTTCAAGATATCACTAACAAAGTTTGTTTTTTCCATTCAGTCCAATGGAAAAATTTAGTGGAAAATTTAGATGAATCAATTGGCCACGAGATATGGCAATGATGAAAACTTAAATTTAAAAATGTGTCATTTGTCTGCATTGGCTTTCCTTCCAGCTAATGAAATTTCAGGAGCTTTTAATGAATTGAAGCTGCATGTGCCTGAAGAAACCAGCAAAGTTAATGACTGGTTTAAAAATAATTACGTGCCTGGTAGGATTAGAAGACGTACAACGGTGTTGTTGTTTGATCACCTGTGTCGTTTGCACTGGATTTGTAGTCTGTACATGAGTGCATGCAGGATGAATTTCCACGTACATAAAACAAATAAGCATGGCACTGAAGATGGAAACCGTAATAGAGGATGCTCATGTCAGTGTATATCAAATCATATAAGAATTTCAAAAAGAGCAGTGCCATGTAGAAAATGAATGTGTAAATGTATTTTCCAAAAAGAGCCATGTCCTTAAAAGAAAAAAACAGCTAATCATCATGATAGAAGACTTCAAAGTATAGTTAATGATTGTGAAAAGTTGGCCAATTCTTATGAACTACCTCCACGCAATTGCCTATAATCTATAACGGTAATATACTTTTTCATATGTGAAATTTTCTTTTTAGTTTTTTTTTAGGGATTTTTTGTCCCCACTATTTAAAGTTGCCAGGATTCATTTTTACAATTTGCCATGTTATGTTTTTCATCTTCACATCATCTCCAACCTTGGAGGCATAAACTGTGTAAAGACTTTTAGAGTTCTAATTTATTTTATCCTTTTTTCTTGTCGCAAATTTGACACTACTAGTGTCACCACAACGTTGAGTTAGTAAGTACTGTGCATGTATGTAAAAATGTTGAAACTTCCTTAATAAATGACGAGATGTCCTTTTTGTATATTTGCATTTGTGAAAGATAAAATTTCTTGACATCTTGGCTTTTTGAGTGACTGCATGTACAGTGGTGATCCATCACAATTTTTGATCAATCTCATCAGAAGTCTTAGGTTGTCCATCAAGGTATTTCAGATGACCAGTTACAAAACTGGTTGAACACAATTACCAACCATAGTGATATGCTTTTATACATTTTGCTTTTTGACCTACTTCCTTATGAATACAGTTCATCTGCTCATAACTGTTACACTCATGTGACTGTCATCAGTATACTTGAGTATGTACAGTTACAAAAATACATGTTATTATTGCCTATCTTCTTGTGTCAAGTGGCCTAGGAAGTTTCTGTTGTGGTTTTATGTTTCTCAAATATATCCCCTTTTTATTTATTTATTTTTTTGAGATGGAGTCTTGCTCTGTCACCCAGGCTGGAGTGAAGTGGCACAATCTCGGCTCACTACATCCTCCGGCTCCCAGTTTCAAGCGATTCTCCTGCCTCAGCCACCCTAGTAGCTGGAATTACAGGCATGCACCACCATGCCCAGTTAATTTTTGTATTTTCAATAGAGATGGGGTTTCACCATGTTGACCAGGCTGGTCTGGAACTCCTGAACTCAAGTGATTGTCCACCTTGACCTCCCAAAGTGCTGGGATTACAAATGTGAGCCACTGCACCTGGCCTGAATCCTCTTTTTAATATGTTAAAAAAAATAGTATTTTAAATAATTTTTTAATGATTTTTTTCCAGATTATGGTTTTAGGATTTTGATTTTTCAGAACTGTGATTTGGGGGATTTTAGACTTTAGGGATTTTGATGTTTTGGAATTTCAACACGCAGGATTATCGCGTTTGGGATTGTATTTTTCAGGATTATAGCCCAAACACACATAGTATATACATAATAAAGACATAAAAACCACGAGACTTTAAAAATTAATAGTTAAATTGGTTGTTTACAATCCTGTAGAATATACAGGATTATATATTGGTTGTCTATAATCCTGTAGAATATACAGGATTTGGAGTTGGAAACTGGAACAGAATATGGTAGTCATTGCTTTTCATCACCAGCTTTACTATACGACTTGAATTTTTTTGAATCCATGTGCATGTTAATTTGATTTAAATTTTCAAAGTTTTAAATTTAAAAGCATTTGAGGCAGGGCATGGTGGCTCATGCCTGTAATCCTAGCCCTTTGGGAAAATAGGGCAGATGGAGTGCTTGAGTCCAGAGTTTAAGACTAGCCTGGGCAACATGGCAAAACCCCATCTCTATAAAAAATACTAATACAAAACTTAGCTGGGCATGATAGCCCATGCCTCTAGTCTCAACTATTAGGGAGGATAGGGTGGGGGAGGATCAATTGAGCATGTGAGGTCGAGACTGCAGTAGACTGTGATCACACCGCTGCAGTCCAGCCTGGGCGACAGAGCAAGATTCTGTCTCAAATAAATGAACAAATAAAAGTACTTTTAACCATGAATGGTAAGGACACACACATACATTTATTAAATAAATCTTAAAACAGTGAAGCTACAGGATGTCATTTAAGTTTGAGGCATAATTTTAGGTTAAATTCATACTGCTTGACAAACTGGGTGGATAATACAAGTGTTACCCATCACTTGAGGCAGTGATAGATGGAAATAAACAAGGCTAAGATAAATTATATATAAAAGATTCAATATGAACTTAATAGAAATGTAGGTTGTTTTGGTTACGAATCCAGTGTTTTGTGGTAGAGACCATAAACACCTTGCAAAAAGATCACGATCTTTTTGTAATGTGTCTTTTTGTGTCACTACTTGGAAAGAAACATCAAATGTAATAATTGTTTAGAACTGTATTTAATATATGAATGTCTGTGACAGGCACAGCTAGTTGCATACCCCAAATCCATTCTCCCATTCTTCCTTTCTAACAGAAGTCTGATTTTACGTGGGGCAGCAACGTGGCAGTCGATGTTTCCCAGACTTCCTTATAATAGGGATGGCCAGTGAAATGTAAGACAGGTCACTGGGTGGGGCTTTCAAGACGCTCTTCAACAGAGGCTGATTTGGCCAGGGATGTTCCACTGGCACCCTTTCTTCTCCTAATACTGCTGTGAATATTATAATTGGAGCTAAGCAGCAATCTTGGAACCTTGCGGGAGCGGCCAAGGACATCAGAGACTTCAGCCCTGACTTCCCTGAGGAACTTTAACATGCCAAGGGATGGAGGAAGAAGTGGGGAATGGGGGAATGAGGTGGGGAATGGGAAACAACTGGTAAAAGGAAGGAAGGGTGATGGAAATGTTCTGGAATTAATGGTACTGCTGCCAAACACTGTGAATATACTGAAAACTACTGTATATTTAGTGTAATGTAAATTATACCTCAATTTGTTAATCACACACACACACACACACACACACACACAGAGGAAAGCAGAAAGCAGGACTGTGCTGTAGTCCTTCCTCCATTTGTAGAACAAGGGCAGTCATTCTCCAATTTGGCTTACCATACAACCTCCCTGACTTTCCTATCACTCCATACCAAAGTAACTGCAGTGAAGCTCCTCTCCACATACTGCAAGTAGAACTAAATGGCTGTACTCTCTCCAGATTTTACAACTTATTTCTGCAGGAGAAAGCATCTTTCTCTCTAGCGGAAGTTCCTTCTGTGAGAAGGAGTATCATTAGTGTGACATTCCTGGCTACTTTCTACCCTGCCCCTGTCACAAGGACATGATGCAGTGACTCATCTATTGGGTAAATTTAGAAGGAGAAACATGCATAGCCCAGGCATGTCCTCTTCTTCCGCCCACTGGGAGCAAGTTACCCACAGGGATCATTCTTCTGGCTCTCACCTAGAGCAGCCTCCCTGTGCCTGGAGTTGGGGGTGGCCAGTGTTTAATTCTGCAGTATAGGTCATTATAAAGTCCACTTACTGCAGATAGACACCACATTCCTAAAACTCTGCTTTATTCTTTGTCTTCCTTGTCAATAACTCATACAATGAAGAGGGGTGTTATTTGTCGTGCCACTCAAACTACAACCCTTATTCTAAAGACTTGGGAGGAATGTGTGTCAAGGAGTCTCAAGACTTCCAGCCCATTAACTCTGCAAAGCAGTGAACCATGCAGCAATCAACTGCTCAAAGTTTCATAAGCAACCTGGAATTTTCCCAGAGTCTTTCTAAGAGTCCTGATTCCTAGTGTGAAGCATACTGCACAACAGATAGACTTCCATATAGAAAGAAACATGGATGTGAAGACATTTTTCTGCACTTTATCAGTGGTGGCTGGAAGAC